GTGGTAGCACTCCCACTGCTGTGGCTGGGGGAGCTGAGGAGAGTGCTCCCCTTAGGTGTGGAGTCACCTGACACTTTGCCTGATTTAAAGAAACTGGCCAATGCTTGTTCTTCAGAGCTGTGTGTAGCAACTCGTTGTGACATCCTATGTTTTCCCTTGCCTGGACAAGTAGCTGTGGCCTGTTTGATATTGAAACAAAGTTAGAAGATTACCTGTATTCAAGTGATTTCAACCAGCTAGACACTGTCTCTTTTAGCAGAGCATCCTCCACTTGCTTCATTGTCCCTTCATCAGGCAGAATGAACAATGAAGTAGCATTTCCTTTGTATGGGATTTCTACTACCCAGCAAGACAACTTCTCATCTCTATGGATATTAAAGTGTTTCTTTTCATGCATCATTTTGACTTTTACGGAATTTTTAGCATCCAACATGAAGTCAGCATCCCTGGTGGACAAAGGGCTGAAAGGTTTTTCCCAGTAACCTTTAGGAGAAGGAAACAAAAAGAAAGAGCATGAAAAAGGGAGTAGTAAAGGCATGTGACATTAGTTGATGCTTTGTGTACTGTAATTTATCTGTAAAGACAACCAGAAACTTATCTCAGTTAAAGGATGCTTGTTCCTTGGCCATGAAAGGAAGCACCAGGTCATTTTGATGGTTCTGATAAAAAACTCTAAGAAAAATTGAGGCTGAGAGATGTCCCAGAAATGAGCTGAGCTTTGGCAATGATAAAACTTCTACTGACTCCCACCATACATGATCCACTGGTGAGTTCTTCTTTTTCTTTCACTTTTTCTTTTCTCTTACAGGAAATTATTTTCCATACCTGGCTTTCAAATATTTCCTTAGGTCATTTAAAAGCAGGAAGACATATTTGACATTAGATGATAGCATGGGTTCACAATGTGAAAGAAGTTATGTTTCTTCCGTCTGGAGAAGACTTCCAGAGCTAATGTGTGTAAGTGCTAACCACCTTTGTCACTCACCTTTAAAGAAAACGTAGTTAACCAGAACCATCACGGTCTGTGGATCAAGATCCTGGAGGAAATCAACAATTTTCCCATGAGTTTTTGTTTCTATGTACTCATTGATTTCCTTTATAGCCTCTGGAGGATTCTGGAAGCTAGTAGAAGTAGCTTCAGAATAATACAGATTTCTCACATCATCCAAAAATTTTTTGAGCAGTTTCAGTCGGTCGTCTACGAACAGGGCGTTGCCCATGCTCAACTGGTCTTCTCGGTGAGGGTCGTTGAGCAGCTGGAGGATGCGCTGAAATCCAGCATGGATCTCCTGCTCCTCCATGTCTGTCAGATTGAAGGCGAGGCCTTTGTGCAGCTGACTGAGAGTGTTTGATCTGACCCCCAGGGAGAGCATTGTAAAGGCAGTGGAGATACTCAAAGGAGAGAAGAAAATGTTCTTGTTGCCTGTCTCTTCTCTGATCTGCTTGTAAACCCTAAATGCAAAGTCGGCATTGCTGGGGGCAATCTTGGCGTGAGGTGAGTTTTCACCTTCAGCCTGGGAATGGTCTTCTGAGAAATGGGCTATTTCTTGTTCCTGCTGCTCATCGTTGAGGTTGGACTTCAGTTGACCCTGGACTTGTAATCCAAGAAGCAACAAACACAAATACAGCGCAGACTTCATTTTTCTTCTGAACAGTTCTGCTAAGAAATAATGCATCAGCTTTTAGGTCTAGAGAATTTTTTCTTCCCTGCTTAAAAATAGCTTTTTAAATATTGATTTTCAGCAGTCAGTCTTCAGGGCTTCTGCTCTACTTAGAAATACCCTTCTACTTGGCCTCCTGAAGAGTCTGTTTCTAGTCAGTTACCTCAGTTTCTGACCAATGAGCCAAGGAAGGAAGATATTGATATGGCAGTGCCAGGGAGGAGTTGATGTTGTGTAGGCATCTGTGAGGTGTTCTTCCTGAAATAGTTCTTGCCTCTGACCAGCATGGCCTCATGGCACTCCTGAGTGGCTCTGGGTGGGTGACCGAGTTTGCCTATTGGCCTCCATGTACTTTGCAGCTACTCTGACAGAGGGACTGACTTTTGCTGGTAAGTTTCTGTAGTACCTGTGGTCTTGTTATGACTTGGGTTTTTAAGCACTGCAGTTATACAGAGATGCTATCAGTTATAGGTGTGAAAAAGCAAACATCTGAATTGTCACCCCTGAAACTGTTTATATCTTTCTGCCTCTTGTGTGACAGAATTGTATTCTTTCCAAAAGTTACCTTAAACGTTTCAGCAAATGCAGGATCAATGCAGAAAGTTTATCGTCTCTGTCTTTTGCGCACAAACTCTCCATAAGGTTGCAAAGTCCAAGACCCAAGAGTTTTGGAAAAGCTCTAGTGGAACCTGCTTTGCTGTGTATGAGCAATTCAGTGACCCTTCCTCTTCCCTTCACTGATGTAAGCAAATTCTGCATAATCTCAGAGTCCTTCTTCTTCCCTTTTCAGGGGAAGAGCCCTGAAATACACTGGAGAAGAATGTTCTCCGCAGGGCCCCTCACCTAAACTGTCTCAAATGGCAAAATCTCAAAACTATGAGTAGGCAGTGGCCTGCAGGAAAACAGAGACCATCTGGATGCTGCTCATAGCAGCTGTGTGCCCATTCTGGAGCATGGGCTTCTGCCCCAGGGGCTGCCTCGGGCTGCCTGTCTAATGCCAGGTTTAGGTCTCGCATCAAACTTGCTGTGGGCAGGCGTTATAAAAGCTAGGACCTGGGTCACTGGCTCAGTCCTGCTCCCAGCCCTTAGATGATGTTTTCAGGAGCCAAAAGTATTTCTAATTACTGTAAAAACCAAATAATCTCAGAATTAATTATTGTGCAATGAATGGCAGAGATCACAGACAACAGGAATTCAGAGATTCCTAAGAAAGTATAAAATTGTACTTACAGATCTGGTCCTCTCTCTCACAGTGTGTCTTCCGTACTCATATTTTGCTGGGTCTATAAAGTTAATGTCTACGGGTAAATATTAAACAGAGCAAATAAGGTTTATTTGCAAGGCAAAGACTGAGCAAGCT